ACTCTGATTTAGTCTACCTTATGTGTATAGTGCATGAGGAGAAATATTGTTTATTAACTGCTATATACCTTAAAGACAAAAACAAGGAAATTAATTTGAATTCACAATGTAAACAAAAATTAAATTAACGCTTCTGACAAAATATTTTAGAGAGGTGCAATTAATTTTAGTGTAAGTGCGGGAGCAGTCATTATAGTGAAGAGCTCATATACACATTCCTCGACGATTACGTAACAATTTGGTGTAGTTAAACAGTAGCTGTTCCCCTAAATTGGCAGCCGTCTGTTGCAGTTATTACCAAAATTACTGCATAAAATCGTTCCACTTAACTGAAAATGTTTGCAAGTCGCAACTGATTCGCTGGCTCGCGGATGCCTTTTGACCAATTTTTCGACTGTTGCGGTTCAGGCCTACATATATTTCAAAACTGCCAATTAGGTGTGCGCACAGTTCATATACATGGGTATTCTCTAACATTCTTCAGTGTATACTTGCGATAATTTATTATCTACCACAAGCCAAGTTCATACAATTTCAGATTTTATGAATTACTCTTCATAGTATTCGTGTGCAGTGAATCATAGGTATTGTAACTGCAGAGAATGACTATTCTCAAGTCTGATTGATAATTGTTTAATTAGGATTGCCATCGCGAGCATACAAATCAAATTTCGAGTCGATAACAACGGCTGTATAGTTGAAACTCGGATGTAATTTAAATATGAAATATATTAGATTGGATATTTGGAGCTCAGTCTTTATGTGTATGTATATTTTTTCATATTTAAATTACATCCGAGATTAAACTCCAAAGCATTAGCATATGTGGACATAATGTTGCACCGGACGTCCAGTCGATGCTAAGTCACTGGAGTTGGATTTGCCGGATGGACCAAAAGCGTTTTCGACTATAAATTAAATGAATTCAAAAGGAACCGTTCAAACTCATAATATAATATTCGTAACAACAATAAAAATACATGGAGAGCGATAATCGATTTTTGTTTATTGCGCTCGCGTTTCTCTTCTCGTTCCCTGTTACTCTGTTGCCCTGTGTCCCTGTTGCACTGTTTCGTCGGCTACATTCATGCTCATATCATTCTACCACTGGCAAGCATGGTCGCACCGTCCCTTCGCCGGTTTTCACTCCCACTGACATGACGAGGCCGACATCTGCCTTTTAATGAAGTAGTAAAGCTCATTCATAAACATATTCAAGTGGGATATACGCACAACTTGGATCAAGTGAAAATGTAGGGATGCAGTGCATGGAGTGTGAAGTGAGTGTTGTGGATGGAGCTCTAGCAGGTTTATGACGAATAGCAGAGTAAGAAAGCCAGCCAGCCAGCCAGCCAGCCAGCCAGCCAGCCATCCAGGTAGGCCCTACCAGACGGCAGACCTGCTTAAATACTAACCAAGCTCGGCAAAAAAAAAAAAAAGAGAAGAAAACAAAAAAATGGACTGCGATCTGCACTTCAATCGCGCCAGTGCAAAGATGCATTCGCTTCTCCTCCCATTCTGCTTCTCCCGATCCCCCTCCTGTTGCTGATGCTCACAACTGGTGAATTCGCAAACGAGCAGATCTCCGCTTTGCCACGAGCCTAACACACGCCGCAGTTTCGACACTTGCTATCGTTCGCAGTTCGCATCCGCGATGCAGAAATTTACATTTATCTTGTGTTTCAATTTCATTCTGAATGGACTTTTTAATTTCCTTTTTGCAAATGAAATCAATTTTGATGCGACGTAGGAACGGAGCACTTACATATTCATAATAATACCTACTCGTCTTGGCATACCAGGTATATATAAATATACGTCGGTATCTGCATAAACAATTCATCTTTCTGATATCTTCTCCTTCTTAGGCTATTTCCATCAAAAGTCTCGAGCAATCAAAATAATATGAATGGATATCCATATGACTATGAGCAATCTTTTCTTGAATTTGTTGTATGTTTTGATCCTAAGGACTAATTATTTTAACATTTAGCATCGAATTTAGCACAATTTTTACTACAATTACTGCTGAAAGTAGCAATATAAACCGAATATTGATTTCCAAACCAATTCTCTCAAAGCAAAAGTCTCAACTTACACACGAGGCTAGCGAAATTGAGCTGATATAGAGACTATATATTGTTGATAAACCCATTGAACTCATGCTTGGATATGTGCTTCTGTTCGTCGGTATAAATATAACTATCATTAAATATATAACTATCATTAAATATGCAACTATAGGTAAATATATAAAAATATAATTCATCCGATATCAACCAAATATTACATTTAATCTATTTATGTTAAAATCTGGAGATTTATACAGGTGCTAAATTAATTTTCTAATTTTGTTGTTTTGATAAAAACAAAGTTTTTACAATTCGAAAATGAGTGAAATCATACATAAAAGATAAAAATAAAAAACCAGTTCGTATGAAATAGAAAATTGTTGAAAAGATCAATAAACAACGAAAAAGAGAAAATAATTAATCATAGATTATGCTTCATTCATTCATTGGTACCAAAGTGAATTTTTATTGGCAATTTTATTTTATTAATATTTTAAAAAGGAAACCAAACAAGTAAGAAGGCTGTAGTCGAGACTGCTCGACTAGAAGATACTCTGATACTCTGCGCTACAGTGTGGGCAATATTATAAGAATTTATTTGTTGAATAAATTATCCATCTTCATGAAACTTTCAGAACGTGATCATATGATTAATATGTGTGTAATTCTAGTCTCTACTACTTGAAATACGTTTTTTACAAATTGAGGTTGAAGGGGGCGTGGTATCCAAAATCTATATATTACAAAATCTTCGTATCAACATATCGTATAAATGTATATATACAGTAAATGTGAAGTCTGCAGGTGTAAAAGTGTTCAAATTAGGTTGAAAAAAAAAAAAAAAACAATATTAATTTTTCGATTATCCTCGATAAAAATATATCGAATGAGTTATCGAAAAAATATGATAAACTTGTACTGCGTATGGTATACACGAATCATCATATCTCTAGCTCTTATAACTTCTGAGATCTAGGCGTTCATACGGACGGACGTATAGACGGATAGGGCTATATCGACTCAGCTCGTCGCCCTGATCAAGAATATATATACTTTATGGGGTTAGCGATGATTCCTTCTGCCTGTTACATACTTTTCGCAAGACCATTACACCCTGATTTCCGGTTGTCAAGGGGTTGAGGATATAAAAAGGATTGAAATATTATTGGATATCGCAGAGGCTGACGAGCATGGCAAACTGTTATGGGAACCAACTAAGGACAGATATAAGAACTCTAACGATTCTCTTTTTATATTGGTTCAGTATCAATATTTTTCACATATCAAAATCTCACGCAAATTGGGCGCTACGTTATTTTTTCTGTGCTTCTGAAAAATAATTTTTGGCAACGCATCACGCGATTCACTCTTCAGTCTTCAGAAAGACTAACTGAGAGACAAATAACGCTAACACATTCGGCATACCCATTTCAACGGCTATGAGAATTCCTTTTTGTGGGCGATTACTTTTGCACTGCCTCTTTGTTGTGTTTTTTGTGTTTTTGTTTTGATCTTCGGCCCTTGCCCCATCATTTTATCCTATATTTTTGAGCTGGGATCAAAAAGTTCCTGGAATTCCGATAAACCATATAATTTTACTAATTGAATGGGGGTGGATAAACGTAGCCAATGCAAACTTTAGATGCACGAATAATATTGTTGTGCATATAATACTCTCACCAACAGTCCAGCTCGAATCTCGTAATTACCCTGTTTCTAGCACATAGCGAGTTTAGTCTGCAAACGATACTCTTTGTGGACTTCACGAAATGCACAATATTATGAAATTTCCAAGTCAAGAAAAACTTGTAGGATGTATTCTATCCTACAGCCCGAGAGGTTGACCATTGTTTTATGTAAAAGCTAAATTAAACCAAAGTCAAGTAAAATAAAATAAATAAATATACACAAATTCTTGTAAAGAGCTGGACTGATCTTGACCAACAGCATATATGTATCAGAATGTTATCAGAATTGTATTCAAGTTCTTTTTTTTTTTTTTCAAATAAAAATATAAAATTGTGACTTGAAATAAATTATAAATATCCTTTTTTACATTTTGCTATTGTAGTAGTATGTACTTTGTTTGCATTGTTTGCTTTTGATTCTAGAGTATATATTTGTCTGTTTACTTTACGTGTCAAGCCCGGATAGATACAGTTGATTTGAAAAACATATATTTCAACTGAATCGAGGTGATGTTAACATATGAACAGCCTAGAGCAAAGCGAAATAATCAAAAACTTAGTTAAATACAAAATTACGAAGCATCAAATGCAGACAGGGAAAGCCATATTAATTTATTCCATCGACCGACTTCAGCAAGAATAAACATATAAATGTCAATCTGGCGATTATACGATTATATTTCTTAAATAATTATCTATCTACATCAATGTTAATTAGAGTTACTAAATGAGCTCACTAATAATATTTAATAATAATATAAAATATTTGCATATGTATTTTTCGTATGATGAATTTGATCGCGAAATTGAATTGAACACAAGAATCTGATATTAGGAATTACATTTTAATAGAGGCCGTCTCCTTTTTGAGGATGCGAAACTCGGCCCTTAACATAAGTGCACCAATTATTATCATAAATTTGGCTTTGGCTATGGTAATCAATCTGCTTAAATCGCAGACATGGAGTTTACTCTTGACTTGTATGGTAATTGCCCTAAGTGCTTGCGTGCATGAAATTTTAAATGTCAATCAGAGATCCCACAGCCCCATTTGGCTTCGATTCAATATAAGATTTGAGTGATAGTGATTCTAGCTGACACGTAATTGATCAGTGAGTGAGTTTCTTCCTCTTCCTCGCAACGTATCGTAAAACGGACAAAGCATGGATATACATACATACATTTACGCATACTTGTGTATGTATATGTGTACAAAGGACGAATAGTATTTCAATCTTACCATCATAAATTTTTGATCCTCAAATTGATGGTCATTGGTCCGATGTAAGATATGCATATTATATGTAAGTTTTTCTTTTGTTATTCCTAGTGTTTACATAAAGTATATATCATATATGCGTCGGAAAGCAATTATCCAGCAGTTCAGCTTTCAGATTTTCACTGGAACACTTTTTCAGCAATTTTCACGTTTAGACTTTTAGTTTAGAATACAAAACAGGTACGATTCCTAAGTAGATAGATCGATTCGGCACTTAATAAGGCAACTATAAGTCATTCGAGTACATATTTATTATTAGGAAGAAGTTAAATTAATGACACTGATTTGAGTATACATATATATTTATACACGTATCTATCATTTTTTTATATGTACACCATAGAATATATATAAATATATATACATATGTATGTGTAACTTATCCGATGTGACGGTCTTGGCAAATATTGGAACACTTAGTAGTAAACTTGGGTGGATGATTGTGATCGAGAAACGTAATTATTATTTGAACAGTTTGCTATTGTAAGATATGTCGAAGACACAGCATAATATTATATTATCCAGTTGGGTTTTTCGAAGAAACCCGCAAATAAACTTCTGCCTTTGCGCAGCCACTGACGGTAGTTCTCGACTGAACTAAATTTTCTGTTTGGACGTAAAAACCTTCAGGGGATGTATTGCGATGCTGACGATGCTGCCGCTTGAATACAACCATACTCACAAACGCACACAGTTACACACACACTCTCACACACACGCATACAGTCACATTTGCGCGCGGTAGTGTGCATAAACACGCGACCATACATAACATGTACGTGTATATGTGCGTAAAAACCTATTAAGCCCCAAAGACCGTTCGACGCTCTGTGAACCGCACACACTTTTCGAAACGCACACAAACACACAACACACCACATACATACAAACAGACATACACACGCACACACACACTCACTAGCACTAACCCTCACCCGGAGCAGATTTTCAAAGACATTACTACACTCTTAGCTAAGAGATAAAACCAGAGACAAAAATCAAAGAGAGATGAGCATACAGTCAAATCCCTTAAAACTGATTTATCTTCGAGCTATGTCATATAAATTGTGCTTCGTGGTCGATTAATGCCAAAATTAGATCGAACTAAATGCATAATATATGTTTTTTATTTAAAGAGTATTGAGATAGTTCACAAAAATATAAAAATATTTATATATACACACTTTACATAATTTGTATCAAGACTTAGTTTGAAACTAAATTCCTTAAAAAAAAAAAAAAAAAAAAAAACACTTTTATTGTTGGTGGTCTTATAATATTGGCCAATTGCAAGAGAATTCACAGCAAGGCCCGATGTAGCGAAGAGTAAGTCTTTATAAGAGAGCACAGGCTGTAAAAATCTTTTCAGTCGGTGGCACCAATACTACTTGGATTATGTATGTATGTATGAGTGGCAAGCGACCGTTGCTGGCATACGTGTTCAACGCGCAACAGCATCAACTACAACCACAGCCATTTATATTTTCGGAAACCACGCCCCTCAAGCTGACTACTAGACAATGGGCCGAACCCAGAGGCTGCGTCAGCGGCATTGCCGCTGCGTCGGCAGCGCAGCTTCTGCACATGTGCACACACACTAACACACCGACACACACAGAGAGAGAGAGAGAGAGGCATGCACACACAAACGTATACGAACATAGATAGATACGTATAGAGATATATACATGCACACACATTTGCTTGAAATGGTTATGTGTGTATGTATAAATGCATACGGCTTTTATTATCACTTGGGTGTGTGCGTTTCGTATACTGTACAAGTCCGTGAGTATATAAGCACAGTGGTTGCAAAATGGATACACACACACGCTCATTACACATATAAATATATAAATCTGTACATATGTATATATAACGGTGGAAAGCTGGGGTTGCTAGCACACTTTAGCCTTAGGGATGTAACTTATGCTACTGGGAAGAACTCGGCATTGGACGCCTGGCAATGCGTTTCGCCAGTGGTGGGTGCCCTACCAATCTAGCCGAGGGCTTTATTTTACACAGCATCACAGCGTGATTATGTCAAAAATAATGGGAGTGAAGGAATATTCACACACACATGTCTCTAAATATATATATGCATATATGTATATACTTATATTCAAAGAAATACATTAATATATATGTACATATATTCATACATATGCGAGTAGATACATACAAAAATACAACTAATTTATTGATTATTAAATGCTCTAATAATAATAGAAAAATATATTTTCTGAACCCAATGATTCCATGTAAATTTTAAATTTGCAAATACACTATTTAGTTCAAACCAAAACTGATATTCAAACTAAACTAAAAAACAAAATCTCACTTCTAACTGATAATGAGGGAATAAATAGAATTAGTTACCGACAAAAGCTTCAGTTTTTGTAGCTTACGAGATTCATAGATTCACAGGCACGGACGGACGTACACGGTTACATTATATTATTGTATACATATTCTGCCCCTCTCATTACATCATTACAAAATCAAATTTTCAATGGGTTCTGGTTATCTACATAAATAATAGTAATATTATAAGATATTGTAATCAGTTGGATTAGACTAAAATTCTCAAAAAAACAAGTAAAAAGGTTCAAGTCGAGACTGCTCGACTAGGATATACCCTGAACCCTCTAAGCTGATATTCTACTCATTCTGCACTTATTTTATGCACACATACAAACACAGCAGCGAATGCACTTGGGCTGCACTTCGGTGAGGGCAATATTAAGAGAATTTATTAGTTAAATACTTTCTCTAGCAGAAGGACTATCTTTATGAACTTTTTCATATGGTTAAAATGTGTGTACATTCCAAAGCACAAGTCTCTAGTAGTTGAAATGCGTAAAATCTGTAAGTTACAAAATCTTTGCATTCATCATATGTATACACACAGTAAATCTGAAGTCCAGTTCAAAAGTGTTCAATTTTTCAATTATTCTCGATAAAAAGTTATCGGATGAGTTATTAATATATGATAAACTTGTACTGCGTATGGTATACACGAGTCTACATGCAAAATTTCAGCTCTCTAGCTCTTATAACTTCTTAGATCTAGAACGGACGGACGGACAGATGGACAGGGTTATATCGACTCAGCTCGTCGCCCTGATCAAGAATATATAAATACTTTGTGAGGTCTACGATGATTCCTTCTGGTTGTTACATACTTTTCATAAAACCATTATACCCTGATTTCCCATTTTCAATGGGTTCAGGGTATAGTTAAGAAGGCTGCTCCTGTTGTTTAGAGTAATATGTTTTTCGATATTTATGATTTGAAAATATTAGCTTAGCAGATTGTACTTCTTTATATTTTTTGGAAGTCCTGTCCTTAACCTATTTTTATTTGAATCCAACCAACGAATAATTAGATGAGATATAAGTTCGCGTGTATCATGCATGTGTATGTGTGCATATCTATGAAGGTATTTGCAGTTAGTCGAATTAATGCCCTACTGCAGCCAGATAAAGAATTATTTGCAACCACTACCATGAACGACAGCAGCCACAACGGCAGTCATGAACATCCTGCGGCGCTCACGAGTTGGACCCGAGGCTTTACATTTTAGCCTCATCCTAAATTGGATGCTCAGTCTCGCTAGATGGAGCAGCCTACACGCACAGTGGTGCAAATATCAGTTGAATTCGTTAGCTCTAGCTTATTTTGTGGTCGTTAGCACCCCCAATAGTTGCATGTATAGAGTATATAGATATTGTATTACTGATGAGTGCGCCGAAAATGTCGTATAGTGTTCCGAATTCAATAATTCGCTTGTACTCTATTGAATTCTGGGCAAAATTAAGAATTAAACAAGTATGAAAGCTTTAGTCGAGACTGTTCGACTCCTAAATCCCCTAAATCCTTCGATCAATTGATATTTCACAATACTTCTTCGCGTCTTTCTGCTTACACAAGAAACACACACACAGAAAACATAGAGATGCAAGCATAAACACGCATTGGCAGCAGTATGCTTACTATGGAAACTTAATTGCTTGATTACTTTTCTTGTTGACGGACTATGCTCATGATCAGATCGTGATTATAACATTAAAGTGCGTGTATGTGTCAAAGCACAGGTCTCTAGGATTTGAAATACGCCTTTACAAATATATAGGTGAGAGGGCGGATATATGGGTAGGAGGTAAATTACAACAAATATATAAATTCTATAAGATACATTTAAAATTTGCAGACCCTACCTCTTAAGGTTTAGGAGATATAATTAAATAACTAGTTTTCGATAAGGTTTTTAATCGATAATAAATTATCGGTTATCGAGTTTCAGAGATATGCGCGTGATATAGGACCTAGGAAAAAGAATTTCTAGTCTGTAGCTCTGATATCTTCTGAAACCGATGCGTTCATACATTCGGACGGACGGACGGACAGACAGACGGACAGGGCTAAATCGACTCAGCTCGTCGTCCACGTCGTCGATCAAGAATATATATGCCACGCGTTCTTCCGCCTGTTACATACTTTTAACAAAACCAATATATCCATTTTCAATGGGTTCAGGGTATGACAAATATAAATGACATACATGTATGTTTACGTGTATCTTCAGATGGATACATGTATACGATGTGTTTGTACATATGTATGTTTCCACATACATGTTATATGCAGACTATTTAAGCATTTGCCGACTGTGGACCAGTGTACGATGCATCACGAGTTATGCGGTACGGCAGCAAAGAGTAAAAATCAATATTGTTTCGTTTTTCGAGCAGGGATCTGGTATCGTGAATCCGAATCGTAACAAAAAATGGCGTCTCGATCATCGATCGTTCGCTTGCGCTAAGACCACAAATGAGCAGCCGCAGTCATAAATCGTGCCGTTGCAATGAAGCCGCCTAAGTGGAGGAGTGTCGAGCACGGCGGCAGCAGCGCTGCAATTGGATAATGCACCTGAGCACCCGTTTCGAGCCTCCTCAATTATTGCCGCTTTCTGCAGCTGAGCCAAGTGCAGGGATACGTAAGCTGTACAGCCACTTGTGTACACCTACCGTACATATATGCATATTCATATGTGCGTGAACACACTAAAACTACAGTACATAGTATGTAATACCCCAATTCATTCGACAGTAGATGCAGGGCAGAGCAAGAATTAGCTAGCATGTCTGTTGCCACTCACGACTTTTACGATTGCCGCTTTCAATACCTTTATTAAGTTTTGTGAATACCAATTTTATTTTCACTCAAATTGGCAGGCCTGTAATGCCGATTTGTGCCAACTACCACTAAAATCAAACACTCAGAACAGGCCTGAATTTATTTTTTATACATTCCGAATATATTACTCTTTTAAAAATTCGCTTATCCCGACGATTTTTATACTCTGAACCTGCGGAATCATCGCAGACCCCATAAAGTATATATATTCTTGATCAGGTCGACAAGCTGAGTCGATATAGCCCTGTCCGTCCGTCCGTATAAACGCCTAGATCTCAGAAGTTATAAGAGCTAGAGAATTGAAATTTGGCAAGCATACTCCTGTAAACCATACGCAGTACAAATTTGTCATATTTTTTCGATAACTCATTCGAAATCCTTTTATCGAGGATAATCGAAT